ACCCCACCGCTCAACCCACCTGAACCTCCGTGTCCTCCCTTCTCTAGGCGGATCCTGAATTTTGAGTCAGTGGAGGTTGATTATCACTGCATCCACTACTCATTTGTGACAGTGGGTGCTACATTTGTATAAATACAAATGTTGCTACATTTGTATAAATACAAATGTTAAATTTTTTTGTAATATATGCAGAGGTGGAGTCCAAGGCAGTGAGTTCAGTCGAACCTGCTGTCGAGCGCTTGCATGTGCACTTGCTTCTCTTAAGACAATTCTCTTCATCTAGTTGTTTAGTTCATTTTCTACAGGGTCCATCTGATATGATAATTTTATTTTCAACTGAAGGTCTGGTTGTGAGTACGTGTTTGGGAGGTGCTTTTCTGGGCTCTATATTCAGCGGTTGGATAGCAGATGGGGTTGGTCGTCGCAGAGGCCTTCAATTGTGTGCTCTACCAATGATAATAGGTGCTTCTATGAGGTAAACCTGTAGACTAAACATTCTTAGTAGCTATACTAAGCCTTTTCAACTTGAAAGTACTGGTGAATATTTACTCTGCAATACCTTCCAAATGTTGTCAAGTCTTGAGTCCTCTTCTATTCATTGTATACTGGGATGAATGGGTATTATTAATAGAAGTGTCTAATCCCGTGGGTGATGTTTTTAGTCTTGCTATCTTTTGCATTGCCAAAGTCTCCTGCAGACTTATTCTTAAGAGTCTTGTAAAGGTTGCTTCATATGGCACATGTGTGTTTAAGTTTTCTTTTCCGTTTAAGTTATTGAATTATATCAACTGGAGGGAATACGAGAGGGTGAAGTCAGAAACTCTTGATTCAATTTTATTACAATACGAGTTTCTGGAACTTAACTGAAGGTTCTTCAACTGCATAAATGTAGTGCTGCAACAAGTACTCTTGGAGTTATGCTTCTTGGAAGGTTATTTGTTGGAATAGGGATGGGCCTTGGCCCTGCTGTTGCTGCTCTCTATGTTGCAGAGGTACATGATATTATCCTTTGCTCCTAATCCTATCTTTTTAGTTACATCTAATTTGTTTGACCAGGTTTCACCAGCTTTTGTTAGAGGCACCTACGGGAGTTTCACTCAGATTGCCACATGCCTTGGGCTCCTGGGAGCTCTTCTTGTTGGAATTCCTGCCAAGGATACTGTTGGTTGGTAAGGATCCTTTGGCCTTTATCTTCTTTTCCTCTATTTAGATTGAGTGATAGCGCTGGCCGAGATAAAGGAAAAAAATGTTCTACTCCTTTTATTCCATTTCACTGTTTGGACAACTATCTTTCTTCAATTTGAGACTGCTAAACTGCTTTTGTTGGTGCATATTAAGAAGTAATCGATTAGCATACATGCTTAAAGCATCCCATTATTTAATTGAATGATGTGCAACTACTTCTACAATGATGTCTCAGGTGGCGGGTTTGCTTTTGGATATCCACTATTCCTGCTGCCTTACTTGCTGTTTTGATGGAATTCTGCGCCGAGAGTCCTCACTGGCTTTTTAAGGTTGGGCACCATGCTCTTATATCAATGAGTGTCTTGCATTGGATAGGAAAGTGACATTAACAAGTTCAGTTTCTTGTGAATATTGCAAATTGTAAAATCTGCTTACAATTTAAACTCACTAGGTCACTCAATGGAAGACGCTCTTTATTTCAGTTGACAAGTGAATACTTGAAATGCATACGTGGGTGATCCATCTTTATAAACTACTGCTTGGTTTCCTGTCTTGAATATATATTCAAATCTTTTATATGCAGTCATACTCGAAATTGTAACACAATCCATCCAATGTTGGGTAAAATGAACATATTGATTATTTTAAACGTCTTTCCATGTCCTAAAGCATAACTCGTCCAATTTTCTCGGACCCTGGCTGTTTTAGGTGAATCTGCGGATACTTGAATTTCCTTCTAATTGTATATCTATGTTACGCATGTTTTCTTATGAAGCAACAGAATGAAATAACTGAAGGATATATAATCTTGACAGATTCCAACAACATTATCCTGATTGCTTTCTCTATTCATTGATGGGGTTTGTGTTCTTTCTCTGTACAATAACTTAGCAGGTTTAATACAACTACTAAACATTATTGGTTCATTCCTGCCGCCTTTT